GGTTCAGCACCGCGGGCAGCGGCAGCGCCGAGCCAGGGGAGCCCGTCCCGCGGGGCGGGGGCTGCTCCGGGAGCCGCAGGATCGCTGTTCCCCGTTCCTGTCCCCTCATTCTGTGCCCCTCTTCGTCCCCTGGGGTGTCCGCAGGGCGCTGCGGCAAAACCCCCCCGCCCCGGGCCGGGGTTGGCGTGTCTGGGATGCGTCAGGGAGGCAGCGCCGTGGGGCAGGGGGCTGTGACACAGCTGAAAGGGAGGCGGGGGCTGCAGCAAGGATCTGCACTGGGTGAAGTCCAGGATGGCAGAAACACCCCCGAGCTCGTCTTTCCCGCCCTTCTTCACCTCCTGGCAGAGCTGGAGCGAGAGGTGGGGAAGGCAGAGCGCTCAGGGAGCCTGGGATAGCTCTGCAGAGGACAGGGATGTGTGGCATGGACAGGTTTGAGTTTCCCCAAGGACGGGAGGCTTCAGCCTCCTTCCCTCCCGCCCTGCAGCTTCTCTTTTCCACTGCAGTGAGGCTGGACAAGCTCTCGGAGGTGGCCAAGGTGAACACGGATGCCATGCGCTTGGCCCAGGAGGAGATCTCCGAGTACCGCCGGCAGCTCCAGGCCAAGACCACCGAGCTGGAAGCCCTCAAAGGGACCCAGGAATCGCTGGAGAGGCAGAGGCAGGACTCAGAGGAGCGCCATCATGCAGATGTCCTGTCCTACCAGGTACCGTGGCGCAGTGGGCAGCAGCCCAGGCTGGGGAGGAGCAGTGCTGGGATTTTGGCTTCAGGGATGTGAAGTTGTTGTGGCAAATGCTCGGGGAGAACTGGCCTGGCCCAGCCTACAGGGATCAGGAACCCAGAGCCTGAGCTGGTGTCCGGGCTCTTGTGGCTCTCAGCACCCCTGGAGCTGCCCCGTGGCTCTGCCTGGTTACAAAAATCATGGAAGTGTGTCCAAACATCCCATCCCCCAGACCTGGGAAGTGAGGGCTGCCTTGGTGGCCTTGGACTGAAGTGCTGTCCCCATCAGCCTCCAGCTGCAGTTCAATTTCCACTGGACTCACCCAAGTCCTGGGAGCATTCCCACAGCTTGTCCCTGCTGGAGGGAGTGCTGGGAGGGGCTCAGCTGGAGAGCAGCTCCTTGCTCAGGGCGTGCAGGGCTCCTGCCAGGTCCCCCAAAGTGACTGGACACCCTGGGACCACCCCTGGCTGTGTCCCCTTCCCTGTGTGTCTGCAGGACGAGGCGGCTGCAGACTCCTCTCCGCTGGTGCTGGAGACCAGGGGACCCTTTAGGGGTGCTCTGTGTCCCCCTGCTCCTGGGGACTGTGCCATGTGTCCTCCTCTCCCCAAATTATTGCTCTGTCTGCCCACAGGAAACCATCCAGCAGCTTGACAGCGAGCTGAGGAACACCAAGTGGGAGATGGCAGCTCAGCTCCGGGAGTACCAGGATCTGCTCAACGTCAAAATGGCCCTGGACATCGAAATCGCTGCCTACAGGTACAGGGGGGGCAGGGGAAGGTGTGGGGGGTCTCAGGCAGGTCTGCTCGAGGTCCCTTGTTAACACCTGGGCTCTTTTTGGTGGCTCCAAAGCCACGGTGGGTAATGTCCAGTTGGGTGACTCAGTGGTGTGTGGAGGGAAGGGCAAGGAAAGCTGCTCATCCCAGGCCACAGGAGCAGGAGGATCATCCAGGATGGAGCAGGGAGGGGGACAGAGCTGCAGGACATTGCTGGTAGCTCCTGGTCGCGGGAGGAGATGAGAAGCCGTCACTGAGTGCCCTGCTCTGATCTCTCCCTGGCAGAAAGCTCCTGGAAGGGGAGGAATATCGGCTTGAGACTGGCATTGGCATGCTCTCCTACCCCGAGGTGGTCCCCAAGCCCCCCAGCATCACCACCAGCATCAAGGTGAAGAGCGAGGAGAAGATCAAGGTGGTGGAGAAATCAGAGAAGGAGACGGTGATTGTGGAGGAGCAGACAGAAGAAATCCAGGTGACTGAGGAGGTCACAGAGGAGGAGGAGGCTGAGAAAGAGGCTGAAGAGGAAAAAGCTGAAGAGAAGGAGGGGGAGGAAGAAGAAGAGGAGAAAGCTGAAGAAGAGGGTGAAGAAAAGGCCAAGTCCCCCTCAAAGGAGGAGGCCAAGACCCCAGAGAAACCTGAGTCCCCCGCAAAGGAGGAGCCCAAGACCCCAGAGAAACCCGAGTCCCCCTCAAAGGAGGAGGCCAAGACCCCAGAGAAACCCAAGTCCCCCGCAAAGGAGGAGGCCAAGACCCCAGAGAAACCCGAGTCCCCCTCAAAGGAGGAGCCCAAGACCCCAGAGAAACCCGAGTCCCCCGCAAAGGAGGAGCCCAAGACCCCAGAGAAACCCGAGTCCCCCGCAAAGGAGGAGCCCAAGACCCCAGCAGTCAAGTCCCCTGAAAAGCCCCCGACCCCCTCCAAGGAGGGGGCCAAGACCCCACTTGTGAAATCCCCAGAAAAACCTGCAACCCCCTCAAAGGAGGAGGCAAAGAGCCCGGCTGTGAAGTCCCCAGAGAAACCCCCAACCCCCTCAAAGGAGGAAGCCAAGACTCCAGCTGTCAAATCCCCTGAAAAGCCACCAACACCCTCAAAAGAGGAGGCCAAGACCCCGACAGTGAAGTCCCCAGAGAAACCTGCACCTCCCTCAAAGGATGAGGCCAAGACCCCAACAGTGAAATCCCCAGAGAAACCCACACCCCCCTCAAAAGAGGAGGCCAAGACCCCGACTGTCAAGTCCCCGGAGAAACCCCCGGCCCCCTCTAAAGAAGAGGCCAAGAGCCCGGCTGTGAAGTCTCCAGAGCCACCGGCAACTCCCTCAAAAGAGGAAGCCAAACCCCCATCTGTCAAATCCCCAGAGAAGCCCCCAACCCCCTCAAAGGAGGAGGCCAAGCCCCCGGCTGTGAAGTCCCCAGAGAAGCCCCCAACCCCCTCAAAGGAGGAGGCCAAGCCCCCGGCTGTGAAGTCCCCAGAGAAAGTCAAATCTCCTGTGAAGGAGGAGGCCAAGTCTCCACAGAAGGAAGTGGCCCCAGCCAAGGAGCCGAGCCCTGCTCCGAAGGAGCCAAAGGCCCCCGCCAAGGAGGAGCAGCCCAAGGAGGTGAAGGCTCCCTCCAAGCCCGAGGAGGGTAAGAAGGAGGAAGCTCCCAAGAAGGATGTCCTGGCCAAGGCAGAGGAGAAACCCAAAGAGAAGGCGGCTGCTGTGCCGGAGCCTCCAGCTCCACAAGCCAAAGAGACCGAGCCAAGCCCCAAACCCGCTGAAGAGGGAAAAGCCGAGGAGGCTCCAGCAAAACCTCAGCAGGAGGTCAGCAAGGCAGCCAGCAAGGAGGCTGAGAAGCCAAAGGCTGAGGAGAAGGTGGAGGAGGCCAAGAAGAAAGTAGAAGAACCAAAGAAGGAGAAGGTGGAGGAGGCCAAGAAGGAGAAGGTGGAGGAGCCCAAGAAAGTGGAGGAGCCCAAGAAGGAGAAGGCAGAGGAACCCAAGAAAGTGGAGGAACCCAAAGCTAAAGCAAAACCCAAAGATGAGCCCAAAGCCAGTAAGGAACCCCCCAAAGCCGAGGCTCCCTCCAGCAAGGAGGGCACAGCCCCAGAGCCAGGGAAGAAGTGATGGAAGAGTCCCAGGCGCCGAAGGCACCTCCGGGCACGGGAGCTGCTCCGCTCCCTGCGATGGCTGGGCCCGGGGTGGGACCCCAGGGACCCCCAGGCCAGGCTTTCCCTTAGCAATAGGTCCGTGAGAGCCCCTCGGGTGGGCGACTGCTTCCCTCGCAGAACGTGATACTCGCCGAGCGCCACATTTAAACACTTGAATTATAACCCAGGAGAAGAGGGGGGACCCCCAGGGGAGCCCCACCGCCCTTCTCCTCTTAAGTGCATTTATTTAATGTATGTGCAATGGATGGATGAGTGCAATGCAGAGCTGTAGCTGCTTGGGGGGGCTGGCGGGGTCCTGCCCTGCCCTGGGGGGTGACAGTCCCTCTGGGCAGAGGTGGGAGAGGAGCTGCTGGAATGCTCACAGACACACACGGTGCACCAGGAACCTCAGCCCACTGATCTTTGCTTTCTGTGCAATAACCAAATAAAAGTGCTTACGGAAACACCCTGGCTCTGCTGGCTTGTGCTGGGGAGAAGACAGGGAGGGAAGGTGGGAATGCAGGGCTGGGATCTGTCACCCAGGGCTGGGGGGGGTGACATTTCCAGAGGGGAAACACACCCCACAGCAGGCACAGAGGACCCTGTGTCCTGAGGATGGAAAGAGGGGCAGCCCTGCTGCGCTTCCCAAAGTATTTCAGTGTGTTTTTCCCCTTCCTTCTTTTTTTAAAGCGTGGCTCCCGAGGGGCTGGGGGAGCCTGGTTTAACCCAAGGGCTGCGGCACAGCCTGGCACTGCAGCACTGCACTGAGGGCAGGGGCTGGGGGGAGCAGCAGAGGGGCTGCCAGCCCTCCTGGGGGACAAATCACTCCCAGGGGAGACACGGAGAGCCTGGGAGGAAGGAGGGACAGTGATTTTGGGAGAGGGGATGGAACCCCCACTCAGCAGTGCCAGGGAGGGGGCACATCCCAACTCCCTGATGCCAAGCTGGGATGCTGAGATGTCCCAACCCTCATCCTGCCTCTCCCAGGACCCCGCTCTGCTCCCCTCCAAGCACAAGGAGCAGAGAAGCCCCCCAGGATGCAGGGATTATGCCAAGTGGATGGCAGCCAACTGGCAAGGACAGGCTGGGGCTGCAGTGCGGGCTCTGGAAAAGGGCTATTTTTAGCCACCTCAGTTTTTAGCCGTCTCAGCTCCCCAGTGCCTGTGGTGGGGAGGGATGTCAGGAGGCAGGGAGTGTCCCTGGAAAGGTTGTCAGAGCCCAGGCATGGGACACAGGGCTTGCTGCAGCCCTCACAGGTCTCTCATCCCAGACCTCTGCACAGACAAGGCACCCACTCATTTTTTTCTTTAGCTCAGTTTAATCCCTTTGACTACAAAACCTTCAAACAAAACCCAAAATATTGTAAAAGGAGCAGAAATGTCAGGATGGGGACACTCCTCCCACAGAGTGAAGGAGTCCCATCCCAGAATGATGCCCAGGGCTGCTCAGCGATGGCTGAAGAACCCCTGGGGGTAGTTGAACTTGAAGGGTTTCAGGCGCAGGGGACCCCTGGAAGAGAAGAGGGAGAGACTGTGACCCACAGGGAACAGGAACATCCCATGGCATCCACAGGAAATCAAATCCTGGGCTACTGCCCTGCTGTGGGGGCAGATCCCTCTAGGACAGGCTTCTAGGGGGGCTCCACAGAACAGCAATGCCACCACCAGAGTCCCTGCCAGCAGCCTCAGTCCCCAGGCAGCTCCCACCTGACCAGGCGCAGACACATCTTCTCCTGGGGGAATTCCTTGGGTCCCTCCACGCTGGGATCGTGGGGCTCTGTCTCCAGGTACACGTCCAGCACCATGCACAGGCGCTGCAGCTGGTTGGTGAGGAGCTGGTAGCCAGGTTTGGGCCCCCACAGCTCCTTGTAGTAGACATTGACCTCCCTTTCCATGGCCTGGAAAACAGGGATGAGGTTGGGACGGGCTTGGATCTCTGCTCCGCATTCCCAGGTGGGTCCAGCCACCAGCTCACCCCAACACTCCCTTTTTACAAACACAGAAGTGCTGGGGACACCCCCAAAAACCCAGTCCCCAGCCCGCAGTACCCGAATGTTGTCGTCGTTGCTGCTGTTCCGCTCTCCCTTCCAGTTCAGGCACAGGCTGAAGACGGGAGGCAGCGTGGAGTAACCGGGATTCAGCACCACGGCCGCCTGGAGCTTGGCTGAGCAGGGAAAAGGTGTCACTCACAGGGCCTCCAGGTGAATATCCATGAAGACTGCCAGAAGCTGCCCTGGGATGGGGATTGGGAATTCCCAAGGGAAGGAAAAGCGCCTACCTGTTCCCCTCTCTATCAGGGCCATGTAATAGAGGTGAGTGTCTTCAGCCAAGCCGGCCTCTATCACATCCTTAGTGTAGGGCAGCTCCTAAGGAGGAGGAGGAATGATGGCTGCAGTGCCATGTGGGAGCTGGAAGGGAAGGATTCAGCCTCGTGCTCAGCACTTACAGCATAATCCTCGTAGGGAATGGCAGTCCACTTCACCAGGCGCGAGACGATTTTGGTCGGGAAGAGCTGCTGGCACTCGCTGGACACCGGCACAACACCGTGCTCTGAAAGCAAGGACAGGGCCCCTGAGCAGGGCAGGGCTGGGGACACAGCTCTGTCACCATCCTGCAGTGGGGACACTCCCAAAGCAGGGCCTGGGGATGATGTTGTCCTTCAGAAGCTCCATCAAGTGCCCAGCAGGGGATCCCATGGGATCCCACAGCATCCTGCAGCCCCACTGGATCCCTGGCCTGCAACCCCACTTCATTCCCGGCTCGTGATCCCACTGGACCCCTGGGCTGCTTGGCAGGCACACAACATGCATGGTGTGCAGTTCACCTCCCACCACATCCCAAACCACTTCCCAACGCTGGGATGGACATTCCCAAAAAGGTGCTGGGCACTGAAGGGGCAGAACCTTCCTCTGCCACCCAAAATGGGCACTCCCTTCATTCCAAGGGCTGAGGGAACAACTGAGAATGCTGAGGGTGGCACTGCCACCCGTCAAAGGTGACATCAGCCAGCTGATGTCTCCTCTCCTGTGATTGCTGCTGCTCCACTCTCCCTCCCAGTTCAGGTCCTGGCTGAAGATGGGCAGCAGCTTGGAATAACTGGGATTCAGGACCATGGCACCTGGCTGAGCAGGGAAGAGATGCTTCCCTGCATCAGGACCCTGCCACTGCACCCCTGTCCCCAAGGAATGGATGGGCAGGACCCTGCCACTGCACCCCTGTCCCCAAGGAACATGCAGGACCCTGCCACTGCACCCCTGTCCCCAAGGAATGGGCAGGACCCTGCCACTGCAGCGCTGGCCCCAGGGAAGGGTGGGGAGCCCAGCTCTCACCCAGGGATGCAAACTGCTTGTGCAGGGCCAGGCGGGACTGCAGGCGGCTCCGGAGCAGCTTCACCGTCAGCTCCATGTGGCTGGCACTCAGGGAATTGTCAGCAGCCACCGTGTGCTGTGGGCAGGAGGGATGTCAGGCCAGGAGCCACATCCCCACAGGGACAGGCACCCAGTATTCAGTGTCACAAAAAGGGCTTGGACTATCAAGTGTGACACGAAATATGTCAGCATGCCCCCCCCCCACGCCCAGCCCAGCTCAGACTGTCCCAGCCATGGTTTGGGAGCAGCTGGTGCCAGCAGGGGGACTGACAGGACCCCAAATCTCAGCCCAGTGTCGTGGAGGAGAGAGGAGGGGTTTGTGCCATGCCTGAGGCTGATCCTTGGGGAAATGCAGGCCACCCAGCTTCTGCACCCACACGTAGGGGTGTCCCAGCTCTGTCATGTAGTCACTCAGGGTCAGGATGCTGTGGGGACAATGAGGAAGGGTCTCATCAAGCCAGGGAGGATTTGCTGTGCTGGAGCAAGGATCTAATGGCAATGGTCTGGGTGACACTCACCCCACTTTATCGAACTGGAACTGGTTGGCCGGGTTGGGCGTTTTCCTCCCGTGGTCCCCTGGATAGAGGCAGTTGAGGAGGGAGTCTGGGGAGAGCAGGTCCCTGGCAGAAAGAGGGGAGAGGTCAATCAGCAGCACTCTGGGCTCTTCATTCCTCCATGAACAGGCTTCAAGCCCAGAGAAAGGGATTATGAGCTTTGTGAGTTCAAGACCAGAATGACTCTCCCATAACTACACTCCAAAAGGAGAGCTGTCTCCTCCCTGCCTGGAAGATGGAAATCACAGGGCACCAGCTCCTGCTCATCCAGGAAGCTGCTCCCTGCAGTGCCATAAAATTCCTCATGTCTGACTGTACACACAAGACTGAGCAAGCACAAGAGGCTGTGTAGGATTTGGGGTCTGGCTCAAGGCACAGCCTCCCTGGTTTGAGGTAACATGGCCAGGGGAAGCAGGAGCGAGGGAATGCCCTGCACAGGATCTCCAGCTGCTGTCACAGAGGGTTTGGGGTGTCTGCAGCAAGAAGAGAAACCCAACAGGATGAGGAGGCTGCATATGGGACAGGCTGGGAGGCAGCACTTGCTCCCAGGCAAGCCCAGACCAGCCTCTCCCACCTCCCTCTTCCTCAGGCACCTCCTGTCGCAGGGAGAGCCACCAGAGAGCTGGCAGCTGATGGGAGCTCCCTGGGCAGGCTCCCAAAGCTGCCACTTCAGCTTTTCCTCACACCAATCAGGCTCTGGGGAGCACGGGGAGAGGCAGCTGCATCTCTGGAGCTCAGGACAAGGTGACCTCAGCAGCAGTCAGGTGAGGGAGCTGCCAAGCTCTGCCTGTGGGAGGGAGGCTGAAAATGTCAGGACAGGCTTTTCCCCAGTTCCTGACAGCTCTGGAACTGCTGAGACATTCCCACACTCCTTGACTCTGGCTTGTCATGGCTGAGGAGAGGGGGAGGAAGGTGCTTGGGCTGTGCGGGACTCCTGAACCCACGGGGGAAGAGGGGCCCCTGCCTGATGAGCTTTGGGCTGTGTAGGGCTCCCAAACCCCATGGAATCACTGCCTGATGAGCTCCAGGCTCTGCAGGGCTCCTGGATCCCATGGA